GAGAGAGAGAGAGAGATTGATTCGAATTTTATTCTTTTTCTACATAAAATAAGCTTTTAATTATTCATAATCATTCATCCTCAAATCGCTTCGAAATCTTATCAGATAGTCTTTCGCGAATAAAATAGTTATTATTATTATATATTTAAAATTCTTGTTTTCCGTCATACGCAAATTACGCATAATCCTTTTCTCTCAGCATACAATTGTATGTCCGATTGTAAGCATTAATAAATTAATTATTCATTATTATCGCGTAATTTTTGCCTTATTTTTAATATTGGTCTGAAATTTTATTTGCATCATAGCTATATTATAATCGGGTCAGTTTTACAACAATAGGTTTACATGGGTTTATGTTAAGCTAAGATGCGTCTTTATACGGCTGAATAGTCTGCCCGAGATTATAGAGATGTAAATTCGAGCTACGTTTACAAGCCACTGCGAAATTACGAATACTGATGTTGGGTATGTGTATATACTTAATGAAATTTATTTCAATCCCCCATGCAATATCTGTAGAGAACAAAATTTCATTAAGTTTCCAGCTATCTTTTTATCCTCATATGAAAAACAAAATTTAATTGAATTTTCAGTGTGAATATCAAATCAATTTTTAATATATCGGTATTAACTCTATTTTTTATGATTCTTTTTTTGATATTCGTTTCTTCCAATTTAATAATTGGATTATTTTACATAATATTGAGATTTATTTTATATTTATTTTTTTGCATATTTTAAATTTTATCGAATAATATACAAGTACATAATATGTACAAGATACAGCATAGATTTTATATTTTACAAAAATTATTTCATAATACATTTCAACATGATCATGTAGAAAAAGCAAATATAAGTTCGATTTCAATTCAACGTATTTCACGATCAATTTAAAGATCTGTTGTCACTTTGATACTCTATCGAATCATTAAGAGTCAGGTTTAATTTTATTGCGTTTCGGTCGCGTTTGTAATCAGATTCGCGGATATTATATATCAACAAACGATCAAGAGATTC